GAGCCGGAGCCGGCCTCGCCGCCTCGGGGTTCTGCCCGGGCTCCGTAAACAAAGTGCAGTATCCTTCCGCCGGGGTCGGGGCGGCGTCATCATTCCCCAGTGGTCTCCCCGGAGCAGCTCCGGCGGTGCCCAGTGTACTTCTTCATACCTAGTTCATCTTCCTGGCGCTTTTCCCCAGCAAGCCAGATACCCTCGGACCGTCATGCGGCTCGGATGTTGCACCGAGCGGGGAGCTCTTCTCCCTTGGCGAGGAATGTGCTCGTATCAGCGGTACTGCTCGGGGGTTCAAGAATTACTTTCATTATCTTTTTCCAACACCCTCTTCCAAATCGATAAATTGCTCGCTTTCTGTGGGTGTCACCGTCCTCCCGCCACCCCACCCCACCTCCAGGGCTTGGAGTATTTTCAGCAGACCTGCAGAAAGCACCTTTAGACTCAAACCAAATTGAATTACTAATTCTTCCCTCTCTGGGCGTCGCCCAGAGGGCCTTGGTAGCCCAGTGAAACAAAGTCCCGCACCCACACCTCCTGCAAGGGCTCCCGGGCTCCCCGCCAGAGCACTGGGCTGCGAGGCTTCCCCTCTCCTAGGGCGCCCCACCCCCGGCCCCGCACACGTGGACCGCAAATGCATTCAACATTCACCGTCAGGTAGGGTTGCAGTTTCAAGCCACCGCCCTCCCCAATTATTCTTCACTTCCTCTGGGGGTTCCAGTCCTCTGGTTTGGGCAGAAATACATCAGAAAAGGGACCTAAACGCTCCAGGAAAGGGGGTCTGAACTGAGGCAGAGGCTTGGAACTCCAGGCCTGGTAAAGCAGAAGCAATCTGGTTTGGAAACAAACTACAAAAAAATTAAATGAAATGAAAATAGCCAAGGGACTGGGAAAGGGGAGTTTAGAAGACTCTGGAGCCCTCGAGCTTTTACATGCACATATGCATATTTTGTAGTGAGAGAAAGGGAACCATATTTATTGCCCACAGTAGGACACTTTCGACTAAAAAGGAGAGCTATTTATAATTATGCCCTCTCCTGCACATTTATCATTTATAATTATGCACAACCAAGTGATGCTAGTGGTAAGGAGTTCCTGGGAAGCTGGCCAGAGAGGACATTGTACAGCAGGATGCCATAGGACCAAGTTTGAAAAGAAGGTCAAGAAGTGGCCTCATGCCTCCTGGGGCCATCATCCTACCCCTCACCAAACCTACCTAGGACTCAGTCACCCGCTCCTCGGGCTATCGCAGTGACTGTTGAGCAGAGTCCCTCAATCCTGTCTTGTTCCATGAAGACACTCGTGTGCTCCTGCTTGTCCCAGGAGCAGGCCTAGGGTAGCCCCTACTGAAGGTCGCAAAGGACGGCCACCAACAGTGCTCTCTAACTCAGGCTGGGAGACCTTGTCCCAGCCCTATCTGAGTCCCAGAACTCAAATGAAAATTGAGTCAAGACATTTTTTCCCCTCCCCGGGCCCCCATTTCTTCAACTGTAAAATAAGTAAAACTCCGACCTTGCTCAGCTCACGTGATAGCTTTAGAATTTTATTTTCAATTCCAGGAAATCTATGAAGGCTTACCATAAGCCGGCCCTGTGCTGGGTGTTAAGGACCCAAGTATGAGTAAGATTTGGTCTCTGCCACCCAGAAGTTCAAAGTCTACACCCAGAGAAAAACATGAAATACATAATCTCATTGTGTAACAATGTGGCAATTAGAATTTCAAAGCATCAAGGGAGCAGAGAGGAAGAAACAACTTTTTCTGGACTTCAGGAAATTTTCCCAGAAAATGTTTGTGATTGTTTTTTACCTTGAATTAATCCAGAGCAAATATTTATTGAAACCTACTATGCACTAGACACTGGGTATAGAGATACAATGATTTCAAAAATGTATTTGTCTTCATAGATCTTGAAAAAGTTCTGTGAGTCATAAAATAATATGAATAAGAGATTGTTGTTGGCATTTCAGGCTGAGAGAAAGAATGTGCAAAAGCAAAGGAGTGGGATGTTCTGAAATTTCTAGTAACTCACCATGGCTCAAGTACTGGCAGCTCGGGAGCCGTGGCGAAGCATGTGGCTGGCAAAGGGCACTGGGATTGGAATGGGAAGGCGTTGATAGACCAGCGAGGGAGCATGGAGAGAAGGAGAGTCGAGGCGGATGGGAAATCGGGAAGGGACAGGGTCACACTGAGGCTTTAGAAAGCTGGCTCAGGTGGTCACCTGGAGGAAAATCCCAGTGGGCTTCCAAGGAAAGGCAGAGAGCACTGTATCAAGAAAATTATAAACTTATAGCGATGTGTAACTGATGCTATACGACTGAAGTGTATTTATTGCTTCTGATGAAATTACACGATGGCCACTGACCTGCCCATTCTCAAAGGCCAAATTTATGACCTTCAGAAGCTACCGCAGTGCAGGGTAAATGAGATCGTTTATACCAAGTGCCTTAGACATTTTTATCCATATTGACAGTAATTCTCAGGATGAAAAAAAAAATGTAATAGGACGATCTGAGTGGGAATCTTCATTCATTCATTTTTTTGGCTATTTGACCTTCAGTGAATTGAGAATATCTCAATTATAAAGTAGAATTATAATCTGAATTTTACCTAATACATGAAAATTATGGAAGATGTGTACAAAGCAGCTAATACAATGTATTGCATATTATAAATAATAATAATATTATTATTATTATTATTAGAGTACATTCACAGAAAGCAACCCAAAATACAACAACAATAATAATAAAATGCTAACAGTATTAATGAAAAGTGTGGGAGTAGTTAAACATACAGTTATAGGAATGCTTGACTACAATATGTACCTAAAATATTATGTGGCAATGAAAACAAGAATTGTATAATTACCGGGAAATCTTTAAACCAGTCCACTCTGTTGGATCCAGTGGCTTTAGGTCAGCAGCCTGCTGTGCATGCTTTCCAGATCATTCTCTTATCTTGACGTGTATTTAGCTGCTCTTCATTCACTTCTCTGTTCATTAGTTCATTAATTTAACAAACAGAACAGTAGGTACCTGCTTAGTGTAAAACCCTAAACTAAGCACTGTATTTGTTGATCAAATAACTGGTTTTTTTGAGAACAACTCCTAAGACTGCTACTATACCACTTGAAGGGTGATATCGACCCCAAGTGATGACAGTCATCCTTCTTAATCAGCTCTTGCAGCAAGACATACCTAGGCTCGAAACCTGAGTTACAGAGAACGCCTCGTCACGCTGCTGTGAAGGCTGCACACCGCACAACTCCACATCATTTTGTTCCCACTGAATGGCACCCCTGCATTTGTACAAAGCACAGTCTTCTTGGCTGGACCTGGAACCTTGAGCTGAGACACGTCCGGCTGGAGTTCAAGGACTTCCCAACAACTTCACCTCCCACTCCTCGGTCCCACGCCCACCAGCTGCTCCCCACTCCTCTGTGGATTCCGGTCCCCCACCTCCACGCCCACTTAAAGTCCTCTCATGATAGAGGTTTCTTTTCTCAATTTTTTAAAAACAGCTTGTGTTCAGAAAGCAGTTATTTACAAGGTGATTCTTAATAGCGCCTTTTAAGAGGCGCCTTTTTGTTTGTTTGTCTGTTTGTTTGTTTGTTTTACCATGCTCAGGTAGGGGATGTGTTTTTCTTTTTGGATAAATGGTCCACTGGGAAAAGTCCAGTGTATAAATACAAAGATATTTCCCTGTTGGAAACCTTTTTTTCCAAGGCCCTGGTTTTGTTGTCACGAAAATAGTTGTCGCATGCTTACGAGAGAAGTGAACGCAGGAGAAATTTTTGTCGTCGCTCCTAGAGGAGGGTAGGGATCTCAGCATATGGGAATTTTCTGGGTGCTGTAAACTGTCTCCCAGCCTGTTACATATCGCTAAGCAGCTAACAGGAAAAGAAGGGAACACAGGTAACATGGACCAGCGAGGCCAAGAAATGCCGCAAATGTGCATGTTATCTCGAGTGCTAGATTCCTATAAAAAATAGGTTCCGTCGGGAAGGTGTCCCGGTAACTCTGGTGCGTGTTTCTGTACCTGGCACACGGACCTCGAGGGAGAAGGCAGACCTGGGCCCAGCTCCTCCATCCCTCTGTTTCACAAACTTTAGGGCCGTGAACGGTGCTTAACTCTCCCGCCTTTTGAGGAATGTTGATAATACCCTTCCTCGCAAAGGGAACGGGCTACATCTAATGATCACTTCCAGCACCCTCCCCCTTCAGCTGTTAAATTCCAACTTTCATTATGGGAAAAACGGGCTCGTCACCAGTAGACCGATGTCTGAACAATGACGCATTGAGTTTTCATCCCATTTGGGCCCAATTCAGCCAATTAGGAACGTGGCCTTGGACGGCCCTGATTGCTCAGATTAAGGTTTATAAGAATTAATGTGTGCACCAGGCTTGCCAATTTACAAAGCGTCCTTATGTATTTTGTCCCATTTAATCCTCTCGGGAGTGCCACGAAGGAGGTTTCGTTATGACCCTCAGTAGAAGAAACTGCGCCTCAAGGAAGTTAAATTTCTTTGGCTCATGAGCACAAACCCCGTGCCTCTGACAGCAAATCTGTGTTCGTTTTGTGGTAACAGCTCTGCTTCCTACCACTCCCTTCTCCTTCACCCTTGTCCTTGCTCCTTTGCCCCCTTCAGTTCTAATTCCTTCTGTGTCCAAACGACATTCTCAATTTAAAACAATTTTGGGGTCACGCATTGAGGCTCCTTGCGTAGAATTTCATAGTTGCAAACCAGAAAAGCGCGTGCGAACACAAAGGTGATATCTAAAGAATAGTAGCTTCTGACTTGTGAGCGCTGAT